CCAGTCAAGAATGCGGTGCGGCTGGTCGGCGAGGAGCAGTTCCACGGGCAGTACCTGGTCGAGGGGGCGCCGCTGCTGGACCGGTGGCGCAGCTGGCTTGCCGCCGGGGGCGAGGCGCTCCCTCCGATCCAGCCGCCTCTGGCGGACCCGGCGGAGATGTGCGCAGTCAGCGGCGCGGGGCCGCCCTTCTCGCCAGAGGCGGGGCTGCACACCTTCATCTGCGGGTCGGCGTCGGTGCTCTCGTTTGGCAACTGCGCGCCCTTCACGCTCGCTGTCCTCTGCCGCCCCAGCGCGCAGCAAGGCATCTCCGCCGAGGCTGGCGGCGCCGGTGCCAACGGCGGCGAGTGCGGGTGCGGCATCGTGCTGAGCAAGTTTCACTACGGGCTGCGGGGCGAGTACCGGCTGGGCTTCGACGCGCGGCGGCGTCCGTTCTTCCACCGCGAGATCGAGCCGTGGGACATGGTCTCGACGAGCGCCGTCACCGCCGACGAGTGGCATGAGCTCTGCGCGACGTACGACGGGGCAGTGATGCGGCTGTACGTGGACCGGCGGCTAGTGGCGCAGGCGCGGTCGGGCGCGCAGTTCACGGACCAGGTGACGCCCGTGCTGATTGGAGCCGAGTACGGGAAGAATTGCGTGCAGAACCACTTCCGCGGCTACATCGGCGAGGTGCGCGTGCTCGACCGCGCCCTCTCCTCCGACGAGTTGCCGAGCCTCTTTGCGCCGCCCTCAAAGTCGGCCGGCTTGCAGCGCGGCTTGCTTGGGCGGTGGAGGCCGATGGAGGCGAAGCTTGACGACGCGGACGGACGGTCGGTCATCTTCAACTCGGTCGCGCCTCGCTCCGCCACGCAGCCCTTCATGGCGCGCGGCCCGCGCCCCACCATGCCGCGCCGTCGCACCGCTGGCGTCGCACCGCCCACGTCACGTCCTTTCCGCACCGCGCTTCTCTCTTCTCCCGCACCGTCTCTCTTCTCCCGCACTCGACCTCGTCCTGTCGCCCCCACACCCGTCTCCTCTCTCATCTCCCGCCCCCGTCTCGACTCGTCCCGGCGGCCCCGCGCCTCGCAGGACGCGATGCTTAAGCGCACGCGGCTGTCCTTCCCACTCGAGATCACCCTGCGGGCGGGCGTGCGCGCGCTGCTCGTCGAGCTCGGCACAGTCACGCCGCACACGGTCCAGTGGCGGCGGGCGGTCGACATGGTCAATGAGTCGGGGGGGTACAAGCACTACTGCTACCTGGGCACCTCCGTCGCGCTCCAAAAGTCGCTGCTGCAGGCGCGCACGAGCCAGCCGCCTCCCCCGCGAGTGTGTCCAGTGACACGTCCAGTGACACGTCCAGTGACACGTCCAGTGACACGTCCCGCAGGCGCTCGACCTGCACGCGCACGAGCTCGTCGTCAAGGGCTGCGCGCGGGTGCACGACCGCGCGGACTCGGCTCGCGGACCTCTGCACGGCGACGGGCTGGACGAGCCCCGGACGAGACGGATGTTGGCCGCGGTGCCCTGTAGGCGCTGCGCAAGCTTCACGAGGAGATCGCGCAGAAGCGGCGCGACGTGCGGGGGCGCGGGTCGGAGCTATTCCGCGAGTGGTTCTTCCACAACCCGATCTCTTTCTTGCGAGAGTGCGACGGCGACCGATGCGAGTTTTGGCGCTTCCGATACCCGGGCCGGCGCGTGCAGGCGAGCGGACGAGGGTGGCACGGGGCGGAGAGAGACGCCCCTGCGCTTGTTGCCACTCCTCACGCTTCTGCTCTCGCCGCCCGGCCGCAGGCGATGAACGTGCTGGTGGAGCAGGCGCGGACGCGTTTCCCGCCCTCCAAGGAGTCGCCGCTCATCATTTCGTCGTTCGGGTCCGGGCTGCTATACCAAGAGTTTTGCCACCTCTGCAAGCTCGTGCAGGTGGGGTACACCCACTTCCGGCTGCTGCTCGTCGACACGGCCTACGCGCCGTGGAAGCAAAAGTACCTCGCCCGCGACGGCTGCTGCCGCATCTACTGCCAGCCCGCCTCGGCACGCCCCCCTCCCCCCCCCCCCTCCCTCCCTCCTGAGGCCTGCTCCTTGGCCCCTCGCCGCTCGCCGCTCGCCGCTCACGCGCGTGCGTAT